AAAAAAAAAAAACTGTTTAATACCTTAGCACCTCTTTCCTTTAGTCCTGTTTTAAAGAAGTTCTCTATAATAAAAACATACTCTAAATTAGCATCTTACCAAAATCACTAATCATGTTTTCTGGCAACCAACTGGGAAAACTAAAAATAGTTATCAAAATATATATTTTTGCATTACTGTAGATGTAATTTATCACAAAAAGCTTTAGGTGAAAGAAAATGTAAGTGGTCTTGGAGACTGGAGATAACTGCACTTCCATTTGACTCAGATAATCACAAAATCATAACAGCCAAACTCTATAATCAGACAACTAATTAACTGCTATCACAACTGTGCAAACACATGATGTTGCTAAGCATTTTAGAAAAGCATCTCCACTGCTCGTCTATCGGTCTAACCTCTAGGTTTAAATAATGATTACACTATGCTTCTTTTAATTATGCCTATCAATTATAAAATATTTTCTTATTTCATTGCCATTCAATTTTTTTTAGACTTTTGTTTCATATTTAGTTATTTTGAGATGTTTATCATCTTTTGTAGGGTTACAGCAAGGACAGAAAAAATTTCATCCTCTGACCTACTGGCCTTAATTCCCTGATTCAAACAGTAACATGCTCTCTCTTCAAAGAAAAAAAGTTTTCCTCGAAGTTTTTGTTGCACACCAACCAGACCTTTTCAGATATTTCTGCAAGGAAAAGCTTTGCTTTTTCACCCCCCATACTGAAATGATTGTGAGATGTTTATTGTCTTCTGTAGTCTTTGAAATAAGTAGCATCTGGAAACATCCAGTTAAAAGTGGGTCAAGATCAGAAATCTATTGTTACCATCATAGGCAGGTCCACATCAGCTTTTTGCTGCCACTGTATGTAACTTAACCTGCTTTACCAAATAAATGTATGTATGTATGTATGTATGTATGTATGTATGTATGTATACGTATACTCACTTATTTTAGAGATCAATGGGGAATGGTCACCCACGGGGAATGGTCACCCACAGTGAATGGTCACCCACGGGGAATGGTCACCCACGGGGGATGGTCACCCACGGGGGATGGTCACCCACAGGGAATGGTCACCCATGGGGAATGGTGGGGTGACCACTTAATATAGGTTGACTGCCAAATACAGGTTCCACAGATTAGGGGTCTCAAAAAAAAACTATAAACGATGCCACTTCATGCCATTAAGTTGACCACTTGATGTAAAAAAATCTCCATCGAAAATACTATTTACTTTGATTTTGGGAGAGAAACATCAGTTGATTAAAAATTATTTGAAAGATTATTCTTAGTTTATTTCAAGTGGTACTGCTTTCAGTGATTGTTCAATACAGGTGGAAGGCAATAAAAACAGGACATTGGGACTTTGTGAAGGGCGATCGTGACCGCTTGATAAAGGTGACTGCTTAATAAGGGGAAAAATTACAGTAATTTTGTTTCCCCTTGAGAGGCTAAACAAAGTAAAGACTTTGACAAGTGACCGCTTAATAAGTGATGAAGCCTTCTCCTCCAGTCGATGTTGGAATAAATTTCATTCGATCACAAATAGAAAACCACAGTTACGGAGATAACATTAGTGTGGGGCAGATTGTTGGTGACTTCTTCCTCATCAAGTTGCCGGGTGGAGAGAAAATAAGACCCAAATTGAGGCGGGATGGGGTGTACCATCAAAACTTGTCAGAGTAGTTGTCAATGATTGGACTGTGTTCGCAAGGTCTCAAGATAGATCTCGGCTACAGGGTAATTGAAATTTAACGTTGATTTACTTAAAACCCCTCACACGTCCAATTTGGACGTGTGATAATGTCCTCAGGTCTTGAAAGGTTCGATTACAATTATGGAAATGACAACTTCATAAAACAGTGAATACTCTGACCTTCATTCAGAACTATATCGAGCTTGCCCTTGTTAGTGTTGACTTTTAGCCTGCGAAGGAAAACAAAAAGATTAACTGACCACATCTGTTACTCTGAACGTGTATGATATTTAGTTAGTGTTGAGTACATGAATCAAAAATAGATTTCCCCACGATATAGGATAAGCGAACTATTTTCTACATCGGTTTCCTGAAATTTTCTTACATCTCTCAATCCAGTTTGATATTCCAAAATGATCAGAGTGTTTGTTTTGGTTTCGCTTCGTACAGTGTCTTGTGGTCGCGGAGTCGCGAAGGCGCCATCATATCAGCCATCATTATTTAGTGCCAGCGGTTCTGAACAAAGAACAACTTTTTAGTGTAAAAATCATGAAACCTACATGTTCCTTCAGTCATATTGTTAGCAACTCGAAGTATAGTGTTGTACGTGAAGACTAAACCCGCGAGCTTCTATTATGAACGGACAAGCAAGTGAGTACGAGTTACAAAGATTAAAGAATATCAATGAAAACAAGAAAATACTTGAAAGTCTAGGACTTGACAAGTTTGAGGTAAGCTGTATCATAATACAGTAGTATAGCTACATAACTGCGCGCATCTGTCATCTGCGCGCCTCCCGGTTAGCTCAATTGGTAGAGCGCCGGACTGTTGTGCGGGAGGTCGTGAGTTCAAATCCGGCCGGACCAACACTCAGGGTCTTTAAATAACTGAGAAGAAAGTGCTGCCTTTGTAATAATATCTGCAAATGGTTAGACTTTCTAGTCTTCTCGGATAGGGACGATAAATGGAAGTCCCGTCTTACAAGCCCTTGTATGTGGTAAAAAAATTTGTGGGACGTTAAAGAACCCACACACTGTTCGAAAAGAGTAAATTAGTCATGGCGTGCAGACATGTTTTTGCTGTCGTGCTTCTATTGACTATTTTCAGCGTCTTACTTAGCCAATTTACTTCAATTACACCTAAATTCGATCGCTCTACAGTTAGACTCTTCATTGGGAAGGAAATATCTGCTCCACCTACGTTCAACTGTAGGTCAAAGCCTTCGAAATGCACACCTTGCGAATTGAACTTGAAGCTCCACACGTTGTTGCGTTTCGTCAAGCTTGGCCAATTTTGTCTGTGTATACTTCTATCTGGCGATATTGCCGTCAATCCAGGACCTAATAATCTTCAATAGGCTTCAGAGGTTTATCAGTCTGCCACTGGAACATCCAACGACTGACTGACACCAAATTGGAAAAACTATCGCTAATGCTCACCTCGAACAACAACAGTACTGTTAAACTCGACGTCTTAATTCTCACTGAGACGTTCGAATCAAGTAAAATTCCAGACAGCTATTGCGTGATACCCGGCTACACATGACACAGAAAAGATCGAATCGGGAAGAAAGGTGGCGGCATATTTGCGTATGTAAATGAGAAAGTTATGGCTTTACGTCGACGAGATTTGGAACTGGATGATCTTGAAACTCTCTGGCTTCAAATTTGTCCTCATAAATCAAAGAGAACGATTTTGATATCTGGTGTTTACCATCCACCTTCAGCCAACAAAGATTATAATGAGAGCTTGGGTAAAAATGTTGAAAATGCCCATCTCGAAAACAATGAATTGATTGTTCTGGGAGACTTCAATTTGGATTATATTGATTTCAACTGTTATTCAAAACATTGTCTCGCAAAGGCACTGAACAGTTTTGGATTAATGCAGATGGTATATGGGGTAACAAGACCTGCCTCTGATGCGTGCTTAGACCATATTTATTCTAGTCATCCTGCTAGAATTAGAGAAGTATCCATAGGTAAATCTGGACTTTCCGATCACCTTCCGGTCACCATCTTGAGGTGCTACAAAACCATGGATGCACAACGTAAACAACATTCCAAAATCAAATACAGAAATATCGACAAAATCAACAAAGAGTGCTTTCTGCGAGACCTAAGAGAAGCCCCTTGGGATATCTCCTTTGTTTTTCGAGATGCCGATGACATTGTTGAATCTTGGTACAAAATCTTTAATGACATTCTTGATAATCACGCACCTTTAAAGTCCAAGAGTGTGAAGAAAATCAATCAGCCGAAATGGTTCACTAATGATCTATACAACGAAATAAATAAACGCGATAATCTTCTAAAGAGGGCCAGGAGAACACAAAATGAGCAAGATTGGTCTGCTTTTAAACTGGTTAAAAACAAAGTGACGAGGAAACTAAGAAATGCGAAGGAACAGTACTTTAAAACTCAGTTCAGTAAAAATCAAAAATGTCCAAAGAAACTTTGGTCTTTAATTAAAGACCTATCTAAAGATACAAAGAATAACGACGACTCCGTCCCTATTGCTGACGAAAACAACAACTTGATAAAGGATGACCATTCAATCGCTGAACGCTTTAACCGCTTCTTCGTTGATGTATATAAACGTCTCATAAAGGCGGCACCTG